CCGCTTCTCCCGTCCCGCCCCGACCGCTCCCGCAAAGCTGCTCCACCATCCCGAGGCCGCAGCCCCGAGGCCACGCGGTCACCGCCCCGCAGACCCAGGGGCCTCCCCAGCTGACAGACCTGCGGGACTGGGGTGCAGATCCCGGACGCTGATCTTCACCTCAATTCCTGCAGATTTGGCGCTTCTCACGGTGAACAAGGCTCTGGAGTTCACTGTTGTGCCTCCCCCTGCAGATGGAGGAAAGGTGCCTTCCTTCCTCACCCTCTCATCAAACCCCCTCATGCCGAGAGCTCAGCGCCTGCAGCCAGCGAGGGGCAGCCCTCGTGTTCCCCCCGTGTCTGCCCTGGGCACGCAGCGAGGGGCTGGCCCTGCCACCCCCACAGCTGCACACACTTGTACAAGCAGCTTGTGGGGGCCTGGAGCCAGAGGGAGAAATGTCCCCAGCCCCGTGGGAGCCACGGGCTGAGCTCAGCTCAAGCCCAGCACGGTTGCTCTGAGGTGAGCTGGGTTCAGCTCCACTCCCCCACAGAGCCCTCGTGGACAACCTGCACATCCTTGAAAAGGAACCGGGGCTGCTCAGGTCAACTCAGTGCAGCAGAGACAAGAGAGTCAGAGACAGGGGGTTTAGGGGACTTGCACTTTACTCAACAGCTCCACGACACCTTCCTTGGTGAGGAACAAAACCTCGCCAGCGTTCTGATCCCAGACCTCGAAGACCGGGGGGTCCTCACAAACCCTCTTCCCGGCGATGAGCACGTAGGGATAACCCAGCTTCTCGGCGTCCTTCCGCCTCTTCCCGATGGTCAGGTGTGTCCTGTCATCCAGCACCGCCTCGCTGCCCAGGTGGGGCAGCGCCACGGCCACCTGCTGGTACAGCTGCTCCAGCAGGGCAGCTCCCTCCTCCTCCTCCTCCTTGCTGCCCCTCTTGGGGGGGATGAAGCAGAGCTGGAAGGGAGCGATGAGGCTGGGCCAGCGGATGCTGTCCTCTGTGGAGAGCACCTCGATGGAGGCCGCCAGGATGCGGCTAACACCCAGGCCATAGCAGCCCATCTCTGCCAGCTGGGGCTTGTTCTCCGGGGAGTAGAAGACCGCGTTGCAGACAGAGGAGTACTTAGTGCCCAGGTAAAACGTGTGCCCCACCTCAATCCCCCTGCTCTGGGCGAGTTTCTCCCCACAGGTGGGGCAGGACGCCTGGTCCTCGCGCAGCGTCTCCGCGTTGGCCGCGAAGTGCCCGTGGGGGCAGAGCAGCAGCCGGACCTCGCCGAGCTCGGCCGCCAGCTGGAACTCGTG